TTGTCATTAGGTTTAGGCCTGTTTTGGAACTCCACTTTAAATAAAGCCAAACAACAACAACAACAACAACAACATGTAACAAGTAAGTACAGTGTAGTCGGAAAGCGCGATAACAGGACACAAAACAGACAAGCTACTGGGACATTCAACGACCTGAGGCCTAGCCCTAACACATCTCCAGTGCGCAAACCAACACTGGCAACAGCCTTCCAGCCGGGAAAGGTTCAAGGTTATGGTACAGTAGGACCAAGGATTTGGCGGAACTCCTCTCCCACCAGATGAATCTGTGAAGGTGCTCGGAGTGACGTTTGATTCTAAACTGAGCTACAGTCAGTACAGACTCCACCTTCGGCAAGTTGCATCACGTGCTAAGCAGCGGCTGGGCCTCCTGCGGAAGGCAGCACCCTCCTCACTGACCTCAGCCACGCGGGCAGGGTGACTGTCTACAAAGGTAGGATTCGTCCGGCCAATGCTGGAATATGCCCCCCCCCCCCCTTGCGTGGATGGGATCAGCTCCCTCACACCTGGCCATGCTGGATGCTGTCCAGCTCCGCGCCCTAAATGTCATTGGCCCTGGTACCATTCTTCCCAGCCTCCTTGTTCGGCAAAAGGTCTCTGCTCTCTGCCTACTGTACAAACTGATGTGTGGCCATGGTCTGCCTCAAGTTGCAGCCATGTGCCCCCCCGCCCCCCCCCCCCCCCCCCCCCCGCCGGCTATACCGCCACGTCATCGCCGCACACGAGCAGCACAAGCACAGCACCATCCCCACCAGCTTGAGCTGAATCTCTCGCCACGAGCTCCTGACTACCTTCTGCGCTCTTTCCCATACTGCATCGTGCCAGTGTGGAATAGACTGCCACAGGCAATTCTGGACAAGCAGCCAGCCCGGAAACACCTGCAGAGCTTCAAGATTGCTGCATACCGTCACCTGCAACAGAGTGACCGGTGCTCTGCTCATGACTGGTGCTAGCCATGCACATTTATCACACTGGCCTGTATCACACTGGCCTGCCATCAGTGGACGCAAATCATTATGTTGACCCTCTTCTAAAAGTAGCATTATAGTCATGGCGACGATATGCCGCAGAACGCTTTCTCTCTCTATACTTCTATCTCTCCACCTCTTTCTGTCTCTTTCCCTCACTTACCCATCTCTCTCTCTCTCTCCCCCTCTCTCTCTCTCTCTCTCTCTCTCTCTCTCTCTCTCTCTCTCTCTCTCTCTCTCTCTCTCTCTCTCTCTCTCTCTCTCTCTCTCTCTCTCTCTCTCTCTCTCTCTCCTCTCTCTCTCTCTCTCTCTCTCTCTCTCTCTCTCTCTCTCTCTCTCTCTCGCCCCCTCTCCCATGGTGCTTGCTGTGTACGCCGATCCCGAGACCCTTGGTCGGGGGAGTCCACTGCATCTCACCAGCGCAGCTCATGTAGCGCCTACACACCCATTGTTGATTTTTTGTTTTGTCTTCGTTTTGTCTTCGTTTTGTCTCCCCCTTCTTCCGTAGGTATGTGTAATGTGATAAAAAAGGAGGAGAAGATGTCATTGGTCCTACCTTAACCTTGAACCTTCCCAGCTGGAAGGCTGTTGGTTTGCGCACTGGAGATGTGTTAGGGCTAGGCCTCAGGTCGTTGAATGTAACAGTAACATATCAGTGTTGTGCCCTGTTATCGCACTTTCTGACTACTTATTACCTTCAAAAGAGTCTTCCAGTCGTGGATAGTTGCTTCATGACTCGTTTCCATTTGATTTCTTCTATTTTAATCCTCCATACCCGACCAGAGGTCTCGGCTTCATAGCTCCATGGAGGCATGGACGCACCAAAGGGAGATCGAGTAGGGAGGCTTAAGTTGAAAAAGAGAACAGAAGAAAGAAAATGAAAAGATTGTATTGCTCAGGGAGCAAGAGAAGAAGTTGAGTATTGACGTGAACACTGTTAGACTTTTAAATTCAAGAGGCGGCTGTCTGTGAGGAGAGATTACATGTACGTCCAAGCAGGGTAGAACACTGTACCCTCTTACTCGCGTATGCTATGAGTGGCCCACTACCAGTTCGTTCTGAGGAAATGGTGATAAGCTGCTGTCTTGAACTTTTGGATGTTCTTTGGGTGAAATGGGTGGGGGATGATAGAGGCAGGCAGCTGGATCCAAAAGGGGATGACGGAGTGGGGAAAAGCCCGGCTCACATTGTTCCGGGAATTTGCAGGAAGAACATTCTGTAACTGATGGGGATGCGCGGTGTGGATGGCCGTACAGCCTGGCGGGTTTATTTATTTTATTTTTTATTTATTTATTGGGAACACAGCCCTACAAAGAGACATGTGGAGACAAACACAAGACAAGACACAGGGGATGTAGGGACGACGTGCCGATGTACAGGGAGCAACTCGACCGACCAGGGGTCTCGGCGTTAGCGTTGCAACCTGGCATCGTAAAATAGGGGGGGTTGCATGGTCAGGTAGCAAAAATAATGATTCGGTGCGAGAAAGGGGCGCTAGTATTGCACCAAATAATATAAATACGTGTAATGACTAAACCAGAAGGGGAAATGAAGAAAGAGAACAATAATCATAACAAGCAAGTACTAGTAGAGAGGTAAATACTAAATGGGTCTCAATATCATCGTCACAGGTACTGTGTGGACCACAGCCATCTCTTTCGGATTAGATCCTTACATACGTTGACCTTGAAGGTTTGGAGGCGTCTTGAATGAGGCTCGTGAAGCAGGAGGTCCGCAGGCAGGTTGTTCCAGGGTGTGATGGCGAAGAAGGGGAAGGATCGCAGGAGGTAGTCAGGGGCTGTGCGAGGGGGTGTCCACTTCAGCTGAAAGGCATAGTGCGTCTGACGTTTTTGCCGTGTGCACATGCTAGCTACGGCAGGGGGCTTGGTTGGTGGCAGCATGGCCTTTACCTGGGGAGGCCCTGGAATGTAGTGCAGCTTGAACAAGTATGACAGGGCTGCCACCATCCGACGAAGCTGAAGACTTTGGATGGTTCCAGGTCCCAGGAAATGCAGGGCACGTTGCTGAACCTTGTCCAGCTGGGCCATGTTAGTTGCGGCTGCGCTCGACCAGGCCAGTGGGGCATATTCAAGTAGGGGTCGTACGAATCCCTTGTAGACCGTCACTCGACCATGGTCGTCCAGGATGGGTGCTGCCTTTCGTAGGAAACCCAGCCTTTGGGAGGCGCGCAGTGCAACACTGCGAGTGTGCGCTCTGTAGGAGAGAGTAGGGTCGAGCATGACTCCCAGCAGCTTCAAGGTATCTGTCTCCTGGAGTGCTTCACCTCCAAAGGTGACT